CAGGTGGGGTCTCACCAGAGCAGAGTAGAGGGGCAGAATCCCCTCCCTCGACCTGCTGGCCACGCTGCTTTGGATGCAGGCCAGGATACGATTGGCCTTCTGGGCTGCGAGCGCACATTGCTGGCTCATGTCCAGCTTTTCATCCACCAGTACCCCCAAGTCCTCCTGGGCAGGGCTGCTCTTAATCCCTTCATACCCCAGCCTGTATTGATCCTGGGGGTTGCCCCGACCCAGGGCAGAACCCTTGTACTTGGCCTTGTTGAACCTCATGAGGTTCACATGGACCCCCTTCTCAAGCTTGTCCAAGTCCCTCCGAATGGTATCCCATCCCTCAGGCATGTCAGCTGACACCACTGGTGTCATCAAATACTATAATTATCAACAGACAAAAAACATTTTCCTTTTAAAATTTGCAAGATACAGTGGCTAGAGCCCAGTTTTGACCTTTATTCAGGATGTCTCCAAGAGATCTCTGGCTGAACTTGATCAGAGGATAACAAAAAGAAAGAATTAAAAAAAAAATAATAATCTTTATTCAAAGGCCTTACAAAGTCCAGATAGACGACATCTGTAGCTCTTCCGTTGTCCACTGATGTAGTCACTCCATCATAGAAGGCCACGAGGTTGGTCAGGCAGGACTTTCCCTTGGTGAAGCCCTTGGTATAGCTTCTAAACAGCTCTGTCTAGACACAAAACTCTTCGTGTTTTCTATTACTTTGTGCAAAAAACCAGCGAGAACCAGCTATCAAATAAAAATGTGGGAGAGAAGTGCAACTCACCAAGATGGTCACCACCAAATACTGGAAGTGATTGCGAAGATCAGCAGCATGAGTGCAGAATAGGACAAAGTTGCTCTGCTCCAGCTGTTGAATTGAAGACATTTGGTGACCACCAAAAAAGAAAGGAAAATTCAAAAAGACAGAAATGATGTCACACTCCATACTAGCCAAACATAGTTGGTGACTGATTTGTTAAATGTAGGATTTAGGAGTCTCGTTCTTCCCTCGTTTGCAACAATTTAAAGAAGCAATAACTCTCCTGCTATCACTGGAGTAACACACCAATAATATTGGGGCAAGCAAGAGGTAAACCATGCACCTAATACAGCATAAAAATGACCAAAACAGGAACTGCCTTATGAGAGGATTCTGTCTAAAGGCTTTATTCCCTATGTTGCAATTGCCTTGTGTTGTCACAGCCACAGCTGCAGACTACTGCAAGAAATTGCTCTTCCTTTTCCATAGCAATGCCATAAATCTTTCACCAGAAACTCTGACTCCAAAACAAGTTATTCTTCAGCTGGAATTACACTCATGCCAACTTCCTGTAATACAGCAGCTAACTGCTGCTTTTGTATACAACCTTGGCTATGGAACATAGCTTTGGGTCAGATATCTCCATAAGTCTGAGTACTCATTGGATGGGAGGATCTAGCTGCCCTGTATTATAATGACAGATGAAGCCACTGCCACCACGCTTTTGCAGAACTCAGGGGGGTTCTGAACACCAGAATATGGTTCAGGCCCAGCACCAGCAATTCTGCAGAAGTGGAATGACAGAGAAGGATTTAATACTCATGCCACAGTAGCGTGATCAACTCTTGCTCCTTTGTGGGCTTGTAGATTATAAGTGGCCAATCATCTGTATACAAATTAGGATAAAAGTTATATTCCTTCTCCATTGCCACCAAAGCCTTCCCAAGCTTGTGTCCCAGTTTATGCTGCCTTCATTTTAGATGTAGAATATCACACTCTGGGATTATGACCAATGCATCTTTACCTGCCTATTCCTTTGCTCACCAGTAATCCACTCACTAAATTCCATGAAGTCAGTGTCCCTTCCTTGAATAACAATATCAAGGGTTGCTCATGCTGGCTGAACTGGAGCAATACAGCTTCCAGCTTCTGCCTCCCCTCACACCTTCCCTTCAGTCTGTACAAATAGAAAAATAAAGAGATATGGACTAATAGAAGATATTTTCCTCTCTGGGTGTTGTCAGCAAGTAGTTGGCTGCCAGCAACCAGATGGGTGCTGTATCCTTACTGACTGATTGGATGCTGGCAGGATCTGGACCATAAGGGACCTTTCATCTTCCCCCTGTCTCTGCTGTTGCTCACAGTGCCTGCAGCTCCCAGATGTAAGCAGAAATGCTTCTCCTATTGTTTCTCACCCTTGGGCCTTCCAGCAAGGACTGACAGATACTATAAAGGACAGCCTACTAATTGTGCCCAAATCCAGGCCAACAGGAAACTTCAGTGCTTCTTTGGCAAACAGACTTTTAAGCAGCCCTTCCAAGGAACTTACTAATTTACCAGGACTGCTGGCGAGCACAGCGCTGCTCTCTTAACATGCCCTGTTCTTGCCCTCTGTCCTGATATTCACTTGATCAATGGCTCATGTGACTAAGAGTCTGTTGACAAAAATGTGAATATTATTTGCTTTTCCAAATAAAGCCAACTTCAACTGATATGTACAGGTTCACATTAAAATAACATCTTTACTGAGTTGAACATAGCTCAAAAATCAAGCTTTAAGATGACTGCTGGACTAGGGAGTAAGGGTTTCTGAGTGGCTTTAAGGTTTTCTACAGCTTTTCTCTATGGGAGGACGTATTGCATCTTTTTGTGAGAGCCACATTCAACTGCAGGTCCTCATTTGAAAATTAGCTCTATCTAGCTCTGAGACAGGTAAGACCTCCTGCCTCTGAACATCTTCTTACTCTGACCTAATGCCTTCCATCACAAAAGACTCCATAAGAACCAGTTCAGCCACTATCTGAGAACAGCCACCTATGCAAAGGAAAGGGGCAATAGTTTAAAGCAGCACACACTATAGAGAACAGAGAGAAGAGAAAAAGCATTCGCTAAGCAACTGAAACCACAGGATACTGTAGATGGATAACATATAATGACCCAATCTGGGTCACTAGGACTAGTTCCTCACCTTTTATTGTGGGGGGGGGGGGGGGGGGGGGGAAAGCCATCTTTAAATGGTCAGGACTTTGGTTTTGCTTCTCGTTTGAAAGAACCATCTCCAACCGCGCAGGACCCCAGGCACCAGAAAAGAACTCTGGTTCCCTACTGATTTGTAGGGGAAGACACCACCCCCTAGATCACCACCTCCAATCGCCAGCCAAAGGTTATTCGCATTTTAGCTGCCGCAGACTCCCCCATGCTGGGACTGGAATGAGGCCAACACACAGACTTAGAGAGTCTGAAGTTACCTGAACTGCTGTCGAGATGAGAAGAAATGAAGCCGTAAGCTTCACATACGGACCATGCTTCATGGTGAGTCCAAGCCCCTTACAAAAAGGAATTGCTCTGTCTGAATTTAAGGCATAAGGATCTAAGAGGAGCAGAATACATAAAATAACAATCTTTTCCACAGATGAATGTAAAATAATTATTATTAAACCTAGGCATATTTAAATATGTCTTACCATCTTTTTCCTTTACTCCAAGAAAAAGAGTGACAATTCCAAGAAGATACACACCTCCTATGACCCCTGCTGCAATCATATAAACTTTTGCCTTTGAAAAGAAAAAAGACATATTTGAAATTGTGACAGGAGAATGACAAGTCATTATGAAGATTTCAGTCTCTTTCTGGTGAGTCATCTGCAAATGAAGAAATGCCCATCTACATAGAGCCAACTGTCTTTTATCTCTCTGAAAAATGTTCACTTCTGCAGTTCATTTCTAAATAACACCTACTTTAGGATAAATCCAGGGCACATAAGTATATATTTCTTGGGGGAAAAAAAAAAAAAAAAGAAGCTGTGAACAAAAGGGCTACTGTCTTGGCAACCTGAACGTTTTAAAAATTTGCTTATGTTGAGACTAGCTATAGACATACACAGTCATCTATCAAAAACAGGCAGCATCTGTAGAGTGATTCTAATTTTTAGTAAATCCAGTTGATCTAGCTACACAGACTGCAATCTGTATCTTCATGCTAGGTGGGAAAGGCCTCAGTACTGATGTAAACATAATTACTACAGTTACTGCATTTATACATAATGATAATAAAAACTTCCTTTAGGCTCTAATGAATTTTAGAAATCACACTTTCATGCCAGTGTTTTGAGAATATGGTAGCTTGCATGCTTGTTTTCCCAGTTGCTTAGTGAAGTACTCAAGCAAATTCAGAAATCTTTGCTTCCTATTAGCCAGGGGAACAAAGCCTCCAAGGATACCTCCCACACCATCAGATCACATTTATTGTTTCTAACTCTGATTACACTGGCTCTGGAATAAAGCTTTAAAAAAATTATTTTGCTTTAGTATTCTGTAATAATTTATTTTATACTGTGTTATCAAAGATAAAATAAGTGCTGGTGATAGAGCTTTATGACATAATGATTATTTGATAGGAAAATTGAATTCCAAATCATCAGTTATATGTTGCAAATGAAATTATTATAAATCTAGGAAGCAGTTGGTAAATAAGCATGCAATTAAAAGAATGTACTCCCAAATATAAAGTCACTTAGTATAGATGCAAAGATAGTCAGATGAACCATGTAAGTATAGACGATCTTCATGACAACAGCTTTTGTTAAGATATTTACATTTCAGAAGGGGACATGGTGAAATAAAGAAATGCAGGACTATTCTTTATTTGGGATGAAGGTTTGGGTTTTTTATATCAGAGCTATAAATTAAGTCACAGAGTACTTTTATGCTATTGGTTATGTCTTGCACAGACTACAGACTGCAGTATTGTAGATACCTGAATTCACTTAAATGAGTGAATTTCAGCCTCAAAAGCAGCCTAGCTAGGAGAGAAGGGGCTAAAAAAAGTATAGAAACAGGACTCTATTATGAATTTTATATTTTGTGTCTGTTTATTTGTTAATTTGCTTGAAACAACTGAATTAAATGCTTTCTTTCACAGGTCATTGTTAAGTGTAATTTGAGCTTAAACTATCAATGATATTCATGGTAGGCTGGATGAGATTCTCTCACTCTAAACAAAACTTGTTAGCCCATCTATGAACTATATCAATATCCATGCTTGGTTTCCAGTAGGAAAGATCCACCCCTAAGCTTACAGTAACAACTTCAGGAGAGCTTAAAAATAACCATTTCTTCCACTTCCTTTCTTTAATAATGAGCAAAATAATATCATTCACTAGGTCTTCTTTTAAACTAGGTGTGCTCTTGAGCAGCTAAGAATTAGTCCTCATGACAAAAAGGATCAGGGTCATACTCCTGAATGGCACTAAAAGAACCGGTCAAGATTCAGCCTCTTCTAAATACTTTTTTTAGACTGATGGAGGTACTTCAGGTTCATGGACCCTAGTCCTGCCTCAACTTATAACTCAATGTCCATCAGTCATACAACCAAAATTCAAGATCCAACATCTCCGGTTGATCGTGTAGTTAGGTGCGTATTCTGCTGTGCGTGGTGTGAACAAAAGGCAAGTGTCCTGCCATGCAATGCAAGCAGCTCCCCCACGTCGCTCAGTGGCCATTCATGCTCCTATAATCCAACTAAATTGATGCCAGGTTACGTGAATGGCAAAGAATTCCGATCCTCACAAAACAGGGTAGCAGGGAGTAAGGTGGGTTGCCAGAGCAGTTCATTCAGGCTATGGCCTCTGCCCAGGCCTGAGGGCTCTGTGGGAAAAAGGGCAGGAAAGAACAGGGAGTGAACAGAACCTTACCCATGGAAAACAGTTGGACATCATAATCCAGACCATTCTCAACCATGGGATACTACTCATCTACAAAACCTGAGAAGGTGACACGCAAAACAGTGGGAGAAGGAAAAAAACAAAGACCAAAACAAATAAACAGGAAATCCTCACAAAAAATGAACACATGGCTGCTTGTAAATAAGGAAGTGAAATGAGGAAGGTAATATCTTTAATTAAATCAACCCATATAGTTGGGGGAAAAAAAAACCCACAAAAAAACAAGTTTCCAGTCACACTGCGACTTCTTCAGATCTGGAGGATGTTTGTGTGTCCAAAAGCTTTTCCATTGTTTCCCAGTGTTAGTAGCTAGCTTCATGAAAGATACTACTTCTACCTACAAACTCTGGATACTTTAGGCTATGTATCTTTGCTATTTTTTCAAAATAAAAAACTACTTGACATTCAACTCATTGTGAAGCTTCTTTCTCCATCTCCCTCCTATCTCAAAAAGGACAGGAAAGCACATGTGGTTAGACAGAAAGGAAATAAATAATGTATTTTTTTTTCCTTGAAAGCCATTTAAGAGATTTGGAACTGGCAGTTGGTGATTATGGCATAAAGCAGATTCAGACAGGGAATCTGCTGTGCAATGAAATTCAGCTTCCTCCACAACTTTGCAAGCTACTCCTCTTGACAATTCACAGAGCTGTAATAGCACAGTAGTTTACTACATCAAGCCATTGTCCTAGAAGCTAAAAAGGAAGACAGGATGATGTTCTGTGTCTTTTTAAAATATACACTAGAAGTTACCTAACAAGCAGCTTCAAAAACACTTTAATCGGCTATAAAATGGCATGGCCACTTACAGAAGCAGCCCAGCTCTCCCCAGGCAGTTTCCCAGGTCAGCTCTCTGAGAAACCATACAGTGACCTGTGCCAAAAACCAAGGATCAAGTAGCACACAGGCAGAGAACAGTGTCTGGGAGTCGGGGGAGGCAAGGGTTGGTCCCCTTCCTGGACTACCAGTGCTGGTGCCAGGGTATGCAAATTCAAAGCACGCATAAAAACATGCCTTAAGCTTGTGATTTTACTGCTGCTGAAGAGTGGTAATAGGAGCTATTAAACTACAATAAGCAGAGCACAGATACGTACATCCTGATTTGCACCAAGCACCTGAGATTAGACTCAGGTCAGGGAATCTTCTTCATGGGGAATTTTATACATCAGTTAGTACATGCACTGACAGAGTAATATAAAATATAAAAAGAAAGACTGAATCTAGCAATTGGTAAAATGGAACCAACAAACTGCAGATTTCACAAGTGACAGAAAAAAACACTACACAAGATAATTAATTGATTCAGGGCCTGTTTCAGGACCACTGGAAACAATGGAAGACTATCAAATTGTGTTCACTGAGGTTTGGATCGGGTTTTAGGATTTCCTCCCAGATATAAAAGCTTCTCTGTTTCTCAAAAAAATAGCAAACTGAAGCACGAAGAGATTAAATTACTTGTGCAGGATTACAGGAAAAATCTGCTGTGGAAAATGAAATAACAAGCATGGATTCTCTAGGTTCTTTCCACATGTTAACCACTGAGCCCTGCTCCCACTAATTGCCTGTTACCAACCATTTACTTTCAATAGTGCTTTGTACCTTCACAAAAATACAGATTCCAAATAGGACTTACAGTTTTGTCCACATAACAGCCATTAATCTTTACAGGAGATCCCTAGTGATAACTACATTGAAAAGCAGTGTTGCTGAACTGAAAAATCCTGCTATAGCCACCATTTTTTCATAGAATCATAGAATTATTTGGGTTGGATGGGACCTTTAAAGTTCATCTAGTTCCAACCCCCGTGCCATGGGCAGGGACATCTTCCACTGGACCAGGTTGCTCAGAGCCCCGTCCAACCTGACCTTGAACACTTCCAGTGATGGGGCATCCACCACCTCTCTGGGAAACCGGTTCCAGTGTCTCACCACCCTCATCGTAAAAAATTTCTTCCTTATATCCAATCTAAATCTACCCTCTTTCAGTTTAAACCCATTGCCCCTTGAGCTGTCACTACAGGCGTTGGTAAAAGTCTTTTTCCAGTTTTCTTATAAGTCCTCTTTACATATATTGAAAGGCCACAATAAGGTCTCCCTGGATCCTTCTCTTCTCCAGGCTGAACAAATCCAACTCTCTCAGCCATTCTTCAAAGGAGAGGCGTTTCGACCCTCTGACCATTTTTGTGCCCCTCCTCTGGACCCACTCTAACAGGTCCACGTCTTTCTTGTGCTGGGGACCCCAGAACTAGATGCAGTATTCCTGGCAGGATAAAGTAAGTTTTTCTTTTTAAGCTTCTATTTTAAACTGTAAATCAGCCCCTAGTGAAAACATAGGATGGTCATATACCTCCTAGCTACTTCACAGTTTGGCATCTTCAGCAGAGCTCCTCAGTGTAATTCTGCTGTCACACTGAGAAGTGGTTGCAAAGACAACAGACGGGAAGCCTTGTTTGCAACAAGGTCGTCGTCTCAGCTCCAGTGTTACTGATTTCAAGGAAGTCACGTTCATGCTCATCAGGCTGGATGATATGATATGGTATTACAGAAACACCCCCACCCCTCTCCCTAAGATTTTAGTGTGCTCCCATAGATACTTACTTGATGAGACAGGGGATCTGAGGGGTCTGGAAAGCTGGGAGAGCCATGCCAGGCGTCGGTTGTGTTTACTGGGGGATTCACAGTGCAGTGATGAGAGACATGAGCACTGGCCACAATCTGCCCCTGCAGTGCAGCTCCAATCAAGGTCCCAAGCACTTCCATGGTCATTCCTAAAGCAGGAAGCACAAATGTGCACTGAGGATGAGAACGCAATTCCTCCACTGTCTGCAAGCTTGCTCATTTGTCTCACTGAACAGAAACCTCATCAAACCACTTTCTTTTACAGTGAACAAGCAGAAAAAGCAATACCAAGAACAGCAGAACTGGAAGGTCAGTCATAGAACAGTTTCAAGGAGAGTTTTGTCGCCTATTTTGTGACCAGCTTTTAGAAGCCTCCATGGAAGAAACTTTTTTTTTATACAAGCTGCATGATGGATACGGCTGAGATTAAGAGCCACAAGGGGATAACATAGAAACCTTTCATCTCGAGAACCAGAGCGGAACTACAGTTTAAATGTTGAATGCCATTTTTCCAAAGCAGGACTAGGAGCCATAACATCAGACTTTTCATCTCAAGCTTAACAGTACCTTGTGAAACATTTTTCAAGCCACTTATCTGATCAGACCTCTAGGTTTTCCAACTGTAAAATAAAATGATACTTGCCTTGGGCTTATGCTGGAAATAATACAGCTGCAAAGCTCTTGGAAACAGCAGATGCTGTTCTTAACTGCCTAAGGCCACAGTCGGGCAGAACTAGCTACCTCAGCCTCAGAGAATGATTCAGATCACTAACACTCCAAGTACTATCAGACCAAGGGATGATCTAAAAAAACAACCAAAGTCTCCATCTGGGAAAGCAAAGATCTAACCATGGGCATCCAGCTCATGCTTCATGTACTCAAAATCATTCAACAAGGAGGCTAGTTGTTACAGCTCCATCACAGGCGAGTGCTGAGTAATCTGGGTTTAGACCCTTCTCACTCCGAGAGATGTCAAGCCTACCACTCCTGTTTCCACGCAGTGTGGCCATACCCAGCAACCCCATGACAGGGAGATAAACTGAATTCCTGTCCTAGCTCCAGAGACTATTTACACATTTTGCATAAAGATACATAGGGTTGAATACATGAACAGATTAGGAACAGGGACCAAGACTCCCTGTTTATGAGGGAACGCTCTTCTCATTGACCTAAACATCAGGCTTTTTTCTACTTATTCTCTTTCAGTGGCTCCAGGGGTCCCATGGTTCCTTTCTCAGAAGCACCATGGGGGATTTTGAAGGGCCGCTTCCAGAGTGAGTTGTGTCCTGGTGGTTATCATACTCTCCCTGGAAAGTGACAGGCACTTCAAAAGCTCCTAGGTTCGGGTTTATTCAAGTTCCCTGCTCTATAACAGCCTTCCTAGGTGACCTTGGACACATGCCTTTTTGTGTATCCCTGTAAAGGAATAAAAGTACTTCACCACCTTATGGGAGAGCAACGCACACAGACTGCGAGGTATTCACACAGTGCAGTAACGAGGGCTGTATGTAGCTATGGAAGATCAAGTAAGGAAAAGGAAAGAGAGGGTCCCTAGGAGACTTGGATCATTTAAACCATTGCTAGTATGCTCCCAAACAGAGAATGCTTCTGAATGGAAAATGTGAGGCTTCATGTAACATTAATTTAAACCAATGGGAAGTACAAAAAAAAGCTTCTTCCCCAAACTTCACGTCCAACCTTACTAGCAATGTTACAGTTCAGTCCATACACACAAAAATGCTGGCAGATGGTGGAAATCCCAACCTCAACCTGATCTGAAGTCTAGTCTCAGATGGGCCTTGCAGAGCTTCCAAACCGTTGACTACTCTGTGCAAAGGCAATGCTTGAGTCACACCTTTCATTCAAAACACCACCTACACATTTATAACCTTTACCTAGGGCTCTACACCTGCATTTTACCAAGCACTTGCATAGAATAAAACTCAGAAGCATTATTATAGGCAACAGAAATACAACCATTATGAAACCTTATTTTCTAAGAAGTAGCAAGAGCTGAGAGGCATATTTCAAAGTTCTTCTGTGCTCAGGATTTATAATGTATTTCTTTCCATCTTAGCCGAGAAAGCTGATCTTTCAGAAAGCAGATCATACCTTGATACTTCATTATATTTTGCCCAGAATGTAAGTAGGATTTATGTTAAAGCAACTTTGGAATCCAGCATTTCTACCTTGCATTCACAGTAAGGAGCAGGACAAAATTTATAATAAGTAGTTCTGCTTATCTCCAGTAGAGGGTAATGGATCCTCTGATCCCAGCCTTTTTTTAAAAGCACACTTCATATTACACAGCTGTTTTTCTTTAAACAGTTGAAGAAATGCCTGAACAACTGACTGCATCCAAGAAAGTCTATCAACAAGAAAAATTCTCTATGCAACCCAAAGAGAGACAAGAGAAAAGTGTTTAAGTTATAAAAAAAAAAAAAAGGAGATTATCACATAATCATAACCATTACAAGAAAACTTGGCTCCAAACAAATACAATTTCAAAATATACAAAAATACCAACATTTGAAAACTCAAAACTATGGTTCATTCCACCACCCTAACCTGGCTTAAGAGAACAGCTGTACACTCAAAAGTTAAACCCTTTCCTGAACAATAAAATGAGACTATAAATGTATAACACCTCTCAGCCATGGAGTTCAACAACTTTTATGAGCACAAATTTCACATGTCTGTGAAGCCTTGCATGGGACTAGCAGATAGGAAAGCACATATATTTGGATCACAGCCTCTGAAGACATAAAACCAGACAATAGAAAACACTAGGTACATGGATTTAGTTAGAATTTAGGCCAGATGACTCACAATACAGTCAGAGCCAAAGAATATAACACAACTGGAATCTCCTGCTGTTTAGTCCTGTCCTATGACTGCTAGCCCAGACGTTCTCTTGAGATAGTTGATGATAATGCAAATTACAACTGCTCCATGTGGCCAGAAAGAGATTGGGTTGCTCAGGGGATATTGTATCTAGAATTCCTGACATGATTTTTTTTAGCACTTGTGGCCATTTCATTGTGCCTCTATGGTCTAGTTTTCAACACACTCAAGCAAGTATGTTGAGGGTTAGAAGGACTAATGGAAAAGAAAAGGGCTCTTGCCAGGAAGAGAAAACAGATGCAACAAAAAAAAATTACAAGTTATTCTAAAGCAACACTGAAGGACAAGTTAAGAGACAGAAGAGTCTTTCATGTGACATTTGAGCACTTTTTTCTCTTTACCTTGCTTAATGCTGGTGGCCGTGAGAGATAGCAGTTACATAATAAAGAAGGCATGAGAACAGAGCAGAAGAGAGCAGGAAGGGAAGAAACTGTTCTTACATTCAATTTATGATCTATATAGGAAATCTTGAAAAGATTTTCATTGCACTTTTTTGGTCTGATCTATTTGCTTCAAAGCAAAAACTTTGTCTGGTTTTGATTGTTAAAGAGCCAGAGATATGGTCTGGAAGCCCTCATTCTTTTAACTAATACAGTCAGAGTGCTAGTTATACTACAGCAAGATCTGTCCTTAAACTACCTGGTATATGTTAGAACTAAACAAACACAGATGAAATAAAAAGAGATATTTTGGTTGGTGTGAACATGCACACAAAATTACCCTCCTTTTTTGGTGGGGTTAACTGTCTTGGTTCTATGAGTTCTAGAAATTTTTTTAGAGAAAACAGCCTGGAGATTTGAATTTATAACACAAAACACATAAACCTAAGGAAATCCAAACAAAAAAAAAAAAAAAAGAAGAAGAAAATACTCAAAATTACTTTCAGGCTTTCTTTAATTGAATGTTAATGAAGATCAGCACTTTGTTTTTTCCCCTACAAATCACCTTTAAATGAAATCATTATTTCCTATCCTGGCTTGGGTAAGAGCGATTTTTATTGTTCCATCTGGCTAGCAATAAACCGAAAAGAGTTTATAGCTAATCAGACAATGTGAGACAATAAAACATTAATGTCTCCTATTTATCTAGAAAAATGGAAGCATTTACAAGACAAAATATTTTTCATCAGATATTAAAAATCTCATATAAGAGCCCAGTTTAGGGACACAAACCCTTAGGAACTTCCTATAGATAGAGAATGATTTTAAATAAAACTCAGCCCTAATCCACATGAGAAAGCCCAGATCACACTCACGGTATGCTGTTGCAGAGTCTCTCTCCTTCTGGTCTGTGCTGAGAAACATGGTGAGGGCAGAATATGGTACTTGGAATAACTATGCAAAGAAAGAACATCACTTAAGAAATGTCAGGGTAAATGCTTTGATATCCAGGAAAATGACTTAATGCAACCTTGGAATTCGCTTATTTAGAACATTGTATTTTTTAGCACAAAGACCTGTCTTTTCTTTCTGATTTGTAAAGCATATTATAGGAAAGTGTATCTTTCATAATACAAATAATAAACTACCAAGAGACTTTACCTTAATGCTGTGCTCCTTCAGCTTCCTTGGGAAAACGTCCTTCATAGCTAGGCTATAAAGCATCTAGTTTTCTTTGCACTAGGAGACTGTAATGTTCCTAGCTTGAGCTAACTAACAAGAAGCAAAGCCATAATGAAGACAATGTAATTTTCCACTTTATTCAAGCCAGAATACTGTATAAATCCCCAAAAGATTTCAAATATCTGTCTCACTGTGTAATTCCAGGAAATAATTGTGAAAAGTACTTTGTCTTCAGCACCATTTTGCCACACACTTCTTAATTTGAGTTATGAATAGGTAGAAACACCCAATTGCTATGTCCATGCACTAACTAAAAGGTAGATGAGGAGTGTTGCTTGTTTGTTTTTACAGCACTGTATCTAGCACGCAATTGATACCTTGCTGTAAAATCTTGGTGGAAACAACGCACTGGTAATATTTATCGCAATGCTGGGTAAATGAGCCCCACTTTTGCTGCAGTCTCCAGTAGTACTCCATTGAAAATAACTATGAAACGTTAAAGGCTTCACCTTTTGGATGGTAATGATGTGAGTGGGACCCTGTCCTCATAGCGTTGAACTAAAATAAAAATCACTTCTAAAATCTTGGAACAACATACAGGCCAAACTCTCAGACTATTGTGAAGTGGAAGTGGGACATGAACCTGCTTGAAAAATCAAGTTCTCTGTGGCGTTGCCACCACCACAGAGATCTGTAGCCAGGCAAATTAAGTCTCGCAATCCGCATCCTACTCTGTTCGTACAAAATGCATTTCTGTTCACCTCCATCAAACATGGCAAGTGTATATGTTTTCAAAGCTCTGCCATGGAAAATCTGTGTTTTTCCTTCAAAAGAGAGGGAAGAAAATTATTTTAAGCCATTATGAATATCTTCTAGACCATCTTTCTCCAGGGGAAACAAAGGACCTAGGGAAACATTCCAGCTTAACACAGGAATACAGAATTCCCAGGTCCAACAGATCTGTAAACAGGAGAAAAGCCAAAGTCAAACAAGAAATACAAACATTTCAAATGTCTGGGAACCACTTTTTCAAAATGTGATCCAGTGAAATTCAATCAGCCAGGATACACCTTGCCAAATTGCAATGCAGCTGTCTCGCTTCCAGTCCTAATCTGCTGTGTGATACTGCTTTGCATGGAAGGTACCTTGTTTCACCTTGATATTGGCTACAAGGTAAAATGGGGTGATGCATCCCCTACATGTACAGTATGGAATGTGTCAAGGAAGTTCTTTGGGATCCACTGAAATGATGGCTTCTGCATAAATATTGCAAATTCTGGGCTGAATTAAAAAATTCATGTGCTCAAACTCTTCTACCCAGGCATAAATCTCATGATGACTACTACCAGTACTATTTCAGCTCTGGTACCCTGACTTTTCATTGCCTTCTAGCTTGAGTCACAACACCCAGAACTAGAGCCACAAACCTACTTGGTCTCCTAATCTGCTCCTGAAAATAGAAGTTATAAGAAGTTAGATGTCTAACTGGAATTAGGAATCCAAATGTCTCTGTGGATCTATACAAGAATGAGTTGAGTATCTAGGGCACTGCCAATGAAAGCGACTGGAGGGAATCTGTCTGAATTAGCAGGTCATTTGCCAGAGACAGCATGGGCAGAAACCATCAACCAGCAGAGAGTTTGACAAAAGGACCACTGCCTATCCCTTAAACTCACTAGAAGTTGAAATAAAATGTAAAGTTTTGGTAAATCTCAGTTTACTAAATCTGAATGCATTAACATAGACAGAAAACAAGCAAGTTACTGCTGAGAACATCATGACCTGTAATCTACTTACTGTGGTCAGTGCTTGGAAAAGGCAGTAGAAAGTCAGGTACCATGCAACTCTTCCCGATACAAAAGGAGGCAGGTACCACATAAAAAAATAGGATACTACTGTGAAGGGTGTACATGCCAGCATCCTGCAAAGATTAACACATGTCAACAGTCTCAACACAATGATAGCAAAGCACATTAAATGTTCCTGCTAATAATCAATATAATGCAATTTATTTTATGTGCAGTTTTTCTAACTACAATAATGCCATGTTTTTAAGTATTAAATGTTAGCATGCATTAAGTACACAGATTAATAGAAAATGTATACAAGTACTTCCATGAAATGGAAAAAGCCCAGCAAATCTGAAGGAAAAGAGCTATACTTTAGTTAATATCCCACTCAGAACAGACACAATTTCCTTGCACGTGCACTGTAACAGCATACCTATATTGCCATTCCTTAGTACATGTCACAGACTACACATTTATTAGAAAGAACATGAAAACTAAGCTCTATTGTCACATGTCACGTCTTCACATACTTCAGCAATTTTTACATGAGCCTACTTATTACCAAGGATTCCCTCTTCCAATTTTAATGCCTTCAGTTTTCCCCTCAGTAGCCTCTTCATTGCTACTTCAAGCACTACAAATATGTTGATACACTTAAAAATGCTGAAAACAGCATAAAAGATAATGGACAGCCCACTGCAAAAGTTCCTACAGACTGTATCTGCTTGGGTATATGATAATTCGCTCCATTTAACTCAACAGCAAAACTCCTAATCACTTCAAACACAAAAGGATCATCTTCTGATGAGGAAGGTGGCTTAAAAAAAAAGAACCACAGAAACTTAAATTCCAGACATTGATTGCTGGTTAATGGCAATTACAGTAGTCTAAAAATTATTTCAGGCAAACAACACTTGTCAAACTCCATGATACGGAAGAAGTGGTCAGATGCTCTTATTTCCTAAAAGCCTGAGCTGCAGCAGCATCAGGGCTCTCCTGTATTCTTGTAAATCAGACATTAAACAATGTAATTAGATGACCAAGATCCCAACAAAAAATATCCAAACACATAAAAGAGAAAACAGATTAATCCCTTCACAACAGCACTACTGACATTGGGGGTCAGCTGATTATTTTGCAATCGTGAACTGAAAACCTGGAATACAAAAGAATAATGTGGGTAAATAGTTTAGGAAAACAATGGCTTTCCCACACTGCTCTTGGGGATGGACAGCATCACTGGGAGCTGAGCATGTACAAGGAAAGTGCCAGGTTCTGGTATTCTCTGTCCCTTCAGTCCCCAGTTCATCCACAGCTGGTCAGCAATGGAAAACACAAATAAGGGTAAAATCCTAGCACATCTCAGGGAGTCTACTTTCCTGTCCAAAAGTGTGAGCTCTTCCAGACTGGTGTCCAGACTGAGTCACCACAGTAAAATATCTTCATAGTCAATTTTTCATGCAACTTTTCAGCAATAACCCTCTTAGTATTCTTCCCCTCTTCCATCCTCTTTCCACATTTTCCTTTCCTCATGAATGTCAGTGAGTTTTCAGAGCCTTGCTGAAGTTGCTGAATATCTGATTGTCTACTATTATCTCCTTTAACAAAATATTTGGCTGGGTTTGTGTATTTCAAGTCAATGTCTGCTTGTGCCTTTTAAACACATTACATAAGAGATCAATAGTGATTGATGACTTCTAATTATATTGAGTACAGTATTAAGCTATAGTTAAACGTTCACCTTCTTTATTAATGTTCTTGCTTTGCTGGCAAGCTTTTCTGACTGAGTTAATTCCATTGCTTCACTCTAGATACTTAAGAAGTCAGAATAATTTCAAAATACCATCAAGCTAATGGAAGACCCATTTTTTGCTTTTTATAAATATGGTCTGACCTCCAAAGTGTAGGAACAACATTCCCATGAAAAAAATTACCATTACCAAAAAACCAGACAAAATCCTTCTGGAAAGAAAGCAGCTGTTTGATGAATGCATATTAAAGGCCAGGTTAGATAAGCACTTTTCCTGTAAGAAGTGAAAGTTGTACAGTAGTTCGTTTACAGTGCAAAGGGCTGATAAGTTCCTGCTTGTGCTAGAATGGGAGTTACTCTAACATCGATTTAACGCTAACAGTAAACACATGTATTTGCAGTATTTTCAGAGAACTGAAAAAAAAGGCATCAAAATACATCTAATGGCATTTGTATAAAAATGTCATTATTTTCTTTTTGAATAACGTTGTTCCGTGGTTAATTCAGTGCTCATTAAAAAGCACTCCATTTACCTGGCCACAAACCAAATCCTGAAAAGAGAAAGAGCAGCAAGCTCCTCTTTTCCCATGGGGCTCTTGACAAAAAGCTTAACTTTGACGTGAAGGGGCCAAGAGCAGCTGATCTCAGCCTTCTTCCAACATGTACTTGCCTTCTATTCTTTGTCAGATATAAGCTGCCCATGGAAAGTTTCTGTAGCCCTAAAACCACACAACAGCAAGAGAACCACCAGCTAAAAACTGGGCTTATTTTCCATGAAAATTCAACTTCTTTTCTCAGGATACCACATTTACTCTTAGATTTTTGTTGTGAATCAGGTTTGGGGGTTATATTAATTCAAAATTCATAATTAATTCAAAATATCTTACAATACATCCTTATAATGCATGAGATAGAGCAGTGATGAAAGACTCCTTATTTCACAAACTACTCGGTCTCCCCTTGACTTCCAAAATATAAAAAAACCAACAAATAAATGCCCTATGGCATAGACACGCTTGGGTTCCTCTAACATGGACCAATCCTTTCCAATTTTCTTGCTTCACACCTGTCAATCTCCTTCCTATAGGAGTAACATTCATTCTTCTAACCTCTCCTTATAGCACATGGACAGCACATGTACAAGTGTACTAGCTAGAGTGCATACAAGGGGTAAGTATGTCATAGTGAAACATCACGCTGTCCCTTTAGAAATGCTCATCAAAATCTTACAGCATCTCATTCACTGTAAAAGTAATGGTGATTTTTTAATTAAGTATTTTGAGTACGGGGATGTAAGAGAAGCGGGACCAGAATGACTGCTGTAAGGAAGAATGTAACAGGGTGTCAGGGCAGTGCTGGTTGCTGAGCCCTTCAATGCCATGGTGTCACATCTGTTCCACATATATGCTCACATCTTTTACTGAATTGAAAGGTCTAGAGAATTAAAAGTAACAGAACTCCTGGAAGGCTGATGTGAGAAGTGAAAGCACACTAGGACACAAGTAGAAACAAGTTCCAATTTTGTGGAGGAGTGAAGCCAAACTAAAGGAATCTAGACAAAAATGAAAATTCAACCACAGATTCAAGAAAGTTTCAGATCTGAGCTTCCAGTTTTGTTAACAACACAGTGTCTTGGCTTTATTTGTTTGTGTCTCCAGTGGTAAAAAAATCTCTTCTATGTTTTCATGGGTGAACAAATTAAAGGGAAATAGATGACATGACAATTTTTCTTTTTGCTTTTATATATGTAGAATGAATACAATCACTGTTGTCTGGGAAACAGGACCAACAAATAAATGCCCTATGGCATAGACACGCTTGGGTTCCTCTAACATGGACCAATCCTTTCCAATTTTCTTGCTTCACACCTGTTAATCTCCTTCCTATAGGAGTAACATTCATTCTTCTAACCTCTCCTTATAGCACATGGACAGCACATGTACAAGTGTACTAGCTAGAGTGCATACAAGGGGTAAGTATGTCATAGTGAAACATCACGCTGTCCCTTTAGAAATGCTCATCAAAATCTTACAGCATCTCATTCACTGTAAAAGTAATGGTGATTTTCTAATTAAGTATTTTGAGTATGGGGATGTAAGAGAAGCGGGACCAGAATGACTGCTGTAAGGAAGAATGTAACAGGGTGTCAGGGCAGTGCTGGTTGCTGAGCCCCTCAATGCCACGGTGTCACATCTGTTCCACATATATGCTCACATCTTTTACTGAATTGAAAGGTCTAGAGAATTAAAAGTAACAGAACTCCTGGAAGGCTGATGTGAGAAGTGAAAGCACACTAGGACACAAGTAGAAACAAGTTCCAATTTTGTGGAGGAGTGAAGCCAAACTAAAGAGATCTAGACAAAAATGAAAATTCAACCACAGATTCAAGAAAGTTTCAGATCTGAGCTTCCAGTTTTGTTAACAACACAGTGTCTTGGCTTTATTTGTTTGTGTCTCCAGTGGTAAAAAATCTCTTCTATGTTTTCATGGGTGAACAAATTAAAGGGAAATAGATGACATGACAATTTTTCTTTTTGCTTTTATATATGTAGAATGAATACAATCACTGTTGTCTGGGAAACAGGCAAAGAAAAACGAGTCTAATTCAATGAGGTGACTGCATGATCACAACACACACAATGTTCATATATATATATGTAAATATATGTACACATTTATGCTTACCAAGGCATGAGCCGGCCAATTTTTGTCCATCTACTTTTACTAATAAAAAAGCCAGCAACAGGATCAGTAACTGCACCTGAGGCTTTGCCAATGAACAGCACCAAAGAGGCATGAAACGGAGTAATCTGAAAGTACAGACAGAATACTGTAAACAAGAGCCATTGTTTCACTATACAATGAAACAGCATAAAGCAACTTTCCAGAAAAAAACCTCAGTGTTTTAAAGAATAATGATAGTTCATTTACAAAACATGTCTGCTGCTGTCATAGAAATTACTATTGGTTACCCGTAGCAAACAAATGAGACATTGAGACAGGCACCATGCAAGAAGGGATTAGAGGGGAAAAGTGCAAGGAAGGAGAGATTATGAATGTGTTTAGAACTAGGAAAATGAGTCAGATAGTCAAATAGTACACTAAAGTCCTTGTTTTAGTCATAAAACCTGACAGAGTCCCTCTGTAATTATCCCCTCACTTTGTTCCCCACACAGCCCCATTTCCCCGTATCTTTATCTTGACCTGATCTAGAAAAAAGTAGAGGGAGCTGTTTACATGCATTCATGTTTTTTCATCTCCTGAGATTACCAACAAGGCTGCCAACTGGTGGCATGTGGCTGTGGAAGAGGTTGCAGCACAGCAGACTTTATCCACTCAGAACTGAACTGTGACAACTGAACTGCATAAGGCACATCTGTTCAAATCAACGTTGCTAGCACATGTCCAACAAATCTCACTTGAAAAACGTTCATGGATTACATAAGAATAAAATGGCCAAGTAGAACCTTTGAAGTTAACCCAGGAGGACCATACTTAAGTGCCTGTATAGAAATACAGTTTATCCCAGGCAAGGTAGTTATTTTTCACATATATCTGTAGAGAGCTTAGGAATTCGTATCACACAATAGTTAAAAAAGGTGGGCGGAGAAAGAGGGAGCGAGGGACTGCTGAAACAGCCTACAGGGCTTAAACAGTGAGAGCAGACAAAACCCCTTCACCTATGTGCTTCTTCATGCTATCAGTGCTCCAACCCAGCAGGAAGCCTGGTGAATGCAGCTGATACAACACCAAGCTTGAGCTAGTATCCCCTGCTTTTCTGCAGAGCTTATTGCCTCCGAGGCAGCATCCCACGGCTTCCAGCTGGCGCAGGTCCCCTGCCTGCAGAATTTGCTGTAGGTATTCCCTCAGAGGTGAAAGAAAGAAGCAGTAATCTCTGAGATGTCCTGGATGACCTTTGTAAAAGGCGGATGCCATGCACTTTTGTAATCACGCCTGTTAAATTTTAGCCCAAATTAGGTGAAATTGCAGGGGCAGCCAATCTTCCTGACAGCACCAGCTCCAAGACACATACTCCACCCTAGAAAGCTCATGAACAGGGAAGGATTGGGAATGGTAGTCTCCAACAGGTAATGACAGTGGCTCTCCAAGCACCCTATTGCTGCACTGTAGGACAAGGCTGTGATGAGCATTGGGCTGTGTCCCACAGCAGTTTGCTGATGTTCACCTCATCTGCCTTCGCTGACTTGTACCCTCCCACAGCTAGGGGGCAAGAAACCCACCAACCCTGAAGAACACTTGCCATTGGGGCTGCACTGGAACTGCTCACAAGTCACTACTGCTTCTCAAGAGACAGGTCAGCCAAAACAAGAACAAAACACCAGTCAGAAAGATACAGGGGTTGAAATACTGCAGTGATGAGGGACGTGGAGACAGAAAGCTTCAAATTAGGTGGGTTTTGCATTGCTATTTTGTTCAGATAATGTGAATAGACAGAAAGGAAGTGGATACTACATAAACAGAAGTGGAAGAAAGCCTTGAGGAAAATTAAAACCTCTCACATTAGGAGTGGAGTCTGCATAGTCACCCTATCTTCATTATTGGTAGGGGCTTATACATCCCTTGGCTGCATTTTCTTAGCCTCTAAATCTAGACAGTGTCTGTCAGCACCAATGCCAGAAACTTCTCAGTGTTAATAAAATACAAGATAAAATATGCTAAATTCATCCATCTCAAAAGGAATAAAGACCAGGATCCTATTATCAGAGGTTTTGGTGTTTTCTAGTAATTTGTGGTGGTTTGGAGTTACATTTACATGTCTGTAGTTTATACAGGTAATTTAGGTGGAACATGGAATTCAAAAGGAAAAACTGTAAGCTACAAAAAGTGAATACAAATGTAATTTTCTTAGAAAGGATCCAGATTATGTATGAAAGATTACACCTAGTGAGTTTCCCAATCTCTCAAAGAGTTCTGCCCTCTAAGTGGGCAAGAATTAAATCCAGGTAGTGACTATAAAATTACATGCTCTCCCTGAAAATGTGTGGAAAAAAACATGGGATTTCAGAGCTGTTTATCAGGCCTTGAAATAAATCCCGTCCCCGCAGGATTACTTCAGAGAACAAACTAAACCATCAAGGAACAAATAATTAAGCCCCTTAATGAAGTAGTAAGTGTGTCATTACAAACATTAAGCAAAATTATTGGGTTTCAGTAGGAGCTTGTTAACAAAATAATCATTATTATGTCATTTATTTAGGTAGTGCCCAAAGGTGCAGGAATGGGACCCCAGCTTTCTGGACACTGTACACAAACAGATAAAGAAATAAACAGTCCCTAGCTTCCAGAATTTTCAATTTCTATGATAAGTGGAGGGTGGGGAAATTGCCATATTTGTAAGCACCCTGGGAAAATTGTATTAGTGTCCTTCTCATTTAGTTCATGCTTCATCATCTTCAATGGCTTGTATTGCCATCCTTGATGTAAGCGTGAAACAACTGTAGTCAGAGCTGCATCCACCTCCCTGCTGCATCTCCAAGTTACCTGTTCCACCTCCAACTCCTCAGACTCCACACCATCCACTTGCCATCTTTGACACTGCTGGGCCCCTTTTCTAGATCTTGTGACTTTGACCTCAACAAGACATTCAAGATCTCAGTTTTACATGCCAGTCTTACTGTGTTGCCAATTTTATCAAGTGAATCACACGTCAGCTTCTGATATCAGGCTTTTATAGGAGAACCATAAACCGAATCTTTTGGACACCTCCACTCCCCCAGTCATGATATCCTGCCTTTCTACATCTTAAACAGCAAGTGGATAACGATACCTGATCCAGAACCTCCTGTTCTTTCCAGCAAATAAAAACAGTTATTAGTGCTGAAAGCCACCCATGTAGTTTCAGCTACAGCTGTTCTCACAGTCCCTGCAATTTGGCCTCATCTCCCTAAAATCCTTTTTGCTATGCTTTAATACTTTATCTGTCGCACCTAGTTAACATGCAGACATACAAGACAATCCAAAAGAGTAAAAAATGCTTATGGATTGATTTTCTTTGTTTCTCTGCTGTCCTGAAATCTAGCTGGAGCAGCTGAAAGTCAGATGAATGGGATGACTCCTACTGCTTTGTTTTACCAGGTCTGCTTCTGCACCAGAAAACCACAGACTGGAAGCAAAGAACCTTCAGGAAGGATAACTCAGCTTTCTTTGCAAAGAAATTATCCTAGACAAACCAAATAAAATTTATGTGAAATTATGTTGACTACTGGATGCAACTGCCGTGATTTTTAACTAAACCAAATGAACAAAACTTCACAACCTCAACATGGTGCTATTAATATTTCAGATGTCTCATATCTTACACTCTCTGACTCTTGACACGGAGAACTGCTTCTTCTTGTGTCTGCAAGTGTGTGAGCTCTACAGTGCCTAAAGCTCTATTAATGATCGCAAACTAAAAGCAAACAATGGCCACTTCAAGACAGAAAGGAAACTAGTGAAAAAAAAAAAATATTGCTGGACAAGTTTATGCAGTTTCCAGGATGCTGAACAGCTAGAGGCAATGATAACAAGACAATTTAAAAGCTTTATTAACTAATTCACCTTTTATCGTTCCAGGGACATTGTTGACAACATCAGAGTTGAGGTAAGTCTACAATCTGTAAAGGTTTCTTGTGCTACTTACATGGGCTATATCTAGCAGGTAGATCTGTAGGAAGAAAGCAGCAGCGCTCCCTGCCACTTGATTTGGGGCACCTCCTATTGCATAGCATAATTTGCCGCAAATCGAGAGCCTGTATTCCTGTTCAAGATGAAGCACAACAAATGATGAGAAAAACAAGGTACACAAGTTACAAGCTATGGAAGTCATAAAGTTAAACCCTAAGGTTAACACCAAATGCAGGTATTCGCTTCACAGGTATTCCACTAATAAATCCATATGCCCTCAACCCCTGTTATCAGCAGGCATTTGGATGCTCATTGCTTTGATTTTTAATGGTTTTGTTCCTTAATTCAGCCCCTAAAAACAGATTACAGTGGGAATCTAGGCTTACCTACCTGCTTCTCGCAAGTTATTGAAAAGGAACAAGTCTACAAACAAGCAAGAAGCAGCAAAGAAGTGCCCACCATTTTCTGAACTTAGTTTTGTCTTTGAATGTTTAATTCAGATTTTTTTTTACAGGTTGAAAACTTTTTTACTTTTTAAAAAAGAATAATTTCTTAATCTTTCAGACCATAATAATTGATATATACTCTCATACCATAGTAATTAGACAACATTCATAGAAAGAGTTCCACAGTCAAATGCAGACCGAATAGATCCCAAACATTTGTGCTCCGTTCCTTCCTTCCTTCGTCACAAAATGCTGCTGTGACCCTAGCAAAGTCACCTGACTTTGTACACCTTCCTTTTGACTTGACTTTTCTATCTCTTTTGTGGAAGTTGGCATAACAGGGAAAGTGATTTGGGGGCCCAAGTCATCTTTAGGACGGACTCTAAGTCACTCCAGGCACGTTTAAAAAATTTTGCAAAACTGTGCTCTCTCATTTGCCTTTTGATGCTTGAAAAGTACTGTAAGCATCCAAGAATATTCTCTAATAGAATTGCCAAATAAGAGTAAGATAAAAGCTGAAAATAAGGTTTCATAACAGTAATTAAAAGGAAAAAAAATGCACAGTCTAACAGAAATTCTAATGAAGAACACTGTGTTTTCCAACAGTAGAAGTTCCAGAATACTGGAAAGCATTTAAAAAAATCTTAAGACTTAATTTCATGCCATAAAATTCAAAATACAGGAAGAAAATGACTCTTCATTAATCTTGTACTCCTTTCAAAGGGACAACGTATGCAACCCAAATTTAGACTTTTAGGCTTTCAATCCCTCTTTAAAGATTGCTGTCAG